TTTTCATAAAGGAAACTACTCACAAGGTTGCTGAAAACTCTTCGACAGCCCACGACCAGTCTCGGCCTTCTTGGGGCTCATCAGGTAGGCACAATCACCGAGTTTCCGTCAACCTTATGTTCTACTTGAACCCAAATTGCACTGTTTTCGAGAAATACGCTCATTCGCGAATCAATTTGGCTTGCACGAGAGACTCAACTGAATCTCTCGTTTATGATATTCTACAACTGAATGTGCTGCCCACAGGCCGCCTCACGATTCAGTTGGCACGCTATTCGAGATATCGGAGTATATTTTCATAAAGGAAGCTACTCACAAGGTTGCTGAGTTGAGTCTCTCGTGAAAACCAAATTGATTTGCAAATGAGTGTATTTCTTGAAAATAGTGTAGTTTCTCCAAACGTTCCGTGTTCCGTGTGTTTTAATTGGAGTGAGTAATGACTACTCAAACGGAAATTTCAGTCTAAGATCCACGCAAACACTCCACTGCCGCAGGCAACCATCGCCTAGAGCTATCTGTGACCTATCTGTTTTTAATTTCCTCCCTTCCGTATGTCATGCCATCTCTCTTGTACACACGGATCACCCTTGATGTGTTTGTATCGTATGCTAGTCCTCAGTATAAATCTGGTTAGTTTTATTACAAACGCCTCGTATCAACCACGAGTAACCGTATTTTGACAATCAATTTCTCCGCGGGAATTGATTCATTCGACAATGGTTATTTTCTGGTTGTCTAATGTTTATACCAACTTGAATAACAATATTTTGCTGACGTCTGAAAACAGTACCCTCATCCAATAGCCATTCAGTGCCACATGCAGGAAACGATTTTAGCGAACGGGAGACAAGTTTCATCCTGGGATACTTCCCGGAATGTCTTATACTGAGCATTCACCGCCCAAATACGACATGTTTTCTTGATTATCCAAGATATTTACGTCTTGGAATTGCGATTGAATGAGGATGACCACAGGAACCGCAGGGAATCAATGAAGCACGGCATATCATCATCATTGTCAGCTGTAATAACCGCGTACTCGTCGTACAGTGGTTGTAGCTGCCGCAGTTTCTTTCCCTGATGATTGGTGGGGAGGGGTAGGTAGCTGCGCATTGCAAGCAGGAGCTGATAAATTGGTGCATAAATCCAGCACTGTCAGTGGGCTGTCAATTAGGGGGGGGGGGGTTGGAAAAGGAACTATGCATTGAAGGCAATAGCTTGGATGCATGAGTGCCATTGAGGGTGCGACTGGGCCATGTCTGACAATGTCTCTAGCCATTGATGGGGCCCGTCTCGGGGGCCCCATCCAGGAAGAACAAGCACGGCAGACAACCTCCATTGGTCAGAAGAGGACCATAAACTGATCCGTGCATACTGGCCTGAGGAACGTAAATAACTGTTCTGTTTTGGCAGTACTACACGGGCAACAGAGGTCCATTCAGTCTGTTGGGTAAAAACCAACCCCCTAGTCTTTCCAATGGTGGAAATTCTAGTTATCTCGGAAAACAATGCTAGACATTACTGAAATACGATAAGCTTTTGGAGCTGGCATCGAATTTTCCGTTGACTCCTTTCAGTTGAATCTAACCTTACGCGAATGCATTACGCGAAATTGAATAAGGATGAAAGCGATCCTGTGGCTGGGATTTTCGCCATCTGGCCTCATCTTAAGATTAAAACATCCTGTCAGGAAGGCCACATTCCTGAGAATCATCCCAGAGTGTTAAAACTCCACCAAAATCGCAGTAGGGAATCCGTCAAGCATCCAGGCCAGTCAAATAATCAATTCATTCAGCTGACGATGATGAGTGTTCAGGCATGGTGAGGATGGCTACTCACCCAACACTGAATCAAGGTCAAAAATACTGCGAGGCCGCTTGTAAATTCTGCTCGCGTGTTCTCAATAAAACTGTTGTCTTACTTGTTGACGGGTCTTTTCCGGACACGACGGCACTGGAGCGGAGACATCGTTCAGATAATACATTCCGTCTTTTCATTCGGAGAACCTTTTGAAAAATATCCTTTTGATTTTCTAACTGGTAAAGCACAATATTTCAAAGGGGAAAAGAGCAGCCATTAAGAGCATGCGACTTTCAGCCTAGCCATTAAATTAACATCTTAGATACCTGTTATCAAGAATATCCATCGAACCGACCAGCTGTCGGTCTGACGGAATAGTCGTCAGACAACCGTGACATTCCTTGCATTCGGCGCTTCCTAAGTAGAGGGTGGTTTTAAGACGGGGTCTGTCGGTTGTCGCGCAAATCCCAGTCTAGCAATCACTCAATCAGACAATGGCATCTTGTACCTATCCTCATGTATGTCTCCTGAAGTATGGGTGCACTGGTGCGATTGCCGCAGTTGTGCTAACTGCTCACGCAGACCAGGCGAACTCCAATTACCCAACCCTCTCGACTGGTGCGTTCGTTCCCGCCGTTGCTTGCAGGTCATAGTCTTGTTAATGTTTCAATTTGTTCGCTGTTTACCAACAAACAGTCATGGTGAGAATGGGCATACTGCGTGAAGGCATGCACACCAAGATTGAATTCTTTCTTCTGGTGGTATGACCTCACTGGATGATCGTCCGACTATAAGTAGCCCCAAACAGAAACTGGGTTGCTTACCCAGTTCCACCATGAATTGAGCTCGGAATCAGTGCCCTTCCGAATACCGGTCGATCGATGCTTACTGCTGACCGGAACATTACCTGGTATGCTTGGTTGTAACTTTGTTTGAGCTTCACAACCACAAACGACCTGAATGGTGCTACGTGTTTTGTGCTCAGAAGCCGCTTGTCACTCCTCGACCGTTGGTGACAGCGCGTGCACACTTTCAAGGTCAGGGTGAGCAAACCAGCTATCGATCAACGGAGACGATTGTTTACGGTCGCAATTGAGATGTTCTACTGATTTCGTCACTAGGCGAGAGGACAGCTGACCTTAAAATGTTGTCTAGATGATATGTTTGCAAAACAAATAATAATAGGGTCACTTGATTTTTCGTGAAGGTGGATTTGTACATAAGGAGTAAGTATTTGGTTTATTGATCCGATGCAGAAAAATACTTGAGAACAGCAGTAAGTAATTTTAATAGCAAAAAATACGGTGCATCATTTTTTGTTGCCCAATCAAACCATAGTTTGTTTTTGGTCGTTCAGCTGGAAAATACCCCTTAATTTTGTGTTGACTCCGTAGGAAAACTCTGAGTTCCCCCCTACAGTGTCCACCTCTGTGGCGCGACCATCGCTGGCCGACGAATTAGGACCTTTGTTAACATAAAGTTGACTTCGGAATTTGGATTCATCATATAATAAAACGCCTATATGTACACAACAATGTCGACCCGAATGTGACCCATCGGTGCGATCGGGACACACATACACCCTCTAACGCCAATGTCCGTCGCTTCGTGATGAAACCTTAGTAATCTAATCCCCTCCCAGTGAACTGAACAACATCAGAACTGATCTCTTGAAGAAAAAAAGCTTGAAGCTGGCTGTGAATGCCATCAGGATTAGACCATCGCGGAAGTAACTTTTTTTTCAATTCCAACCTTCTCCTCTGGTGCTCAGACTGGGTACTTCATCGGCAGAGAGTTGGTGGGGAAAACGTGATTTTCTTGTCGCCCTAAAGACTTTGGTTCTGCAACAGAAAAAACTTGATTCACAGGCATTCATAACCAGTGAGGAAGGCCCGCGTTCAACCACCTGCCAGCTGGTCCATTCGATCAGATTTTGGCAATACACAAATAACAGTCCTTTTTGCGTAAATTATCACACTCTCCAGTTCGACTGAAGGTACTTTTTTTCTGGGAATTTTGGAAAACGATCAGTGAATTTTTGTAATGTACTACTCATAAGGTTGCTGAAAATCCGTCAACAGCCGATGACCGGTTTCGCCCTTTTTGGGGCTCATCAGGTAGGCGCAGTCCCCGGGTTTCCGTCAACCTTATGTTCTACTTGAAACCAAATTGCACGAAATTAGCGAATATACACGCATTCGCAAACTAATTTGGTTTTTCGAGAGACTCACCTAGGAAACACCTGAAAACATCACAAACAAGAGATTCAGCTGGGTTCCAGGTGTCTCTCGAAAAACCAAATTAATTTGCGAACGAGTGTGTATTCGCTAAACTCTGTGAATTGTTCTCCTTCAGTTTTTTTTCATTCTGACTTCCTGCCATCAACGTTTTTTTTTACCATTTTGTCCTTTTAACACTGGTTTTCTGTTTCCTGTTCTGACAGACATTTGAACACAAATCATCAGCTCTCACTTCAGTCTTTGGCTCAAGTGGAAGTCTGTGCTTCGCGGTTGGAGTTATATCTACGAACAGTAAGTCATGTGATTTTGTCGGGTCATGTTGATATGATACCCTCACACCACTCGCCACCGGCGAGGTGGGCACTGGCGGTCAAGACCAAGGCCCCCGTCTCTTTGTTTTTCTCTGGTGCCCACCTGCCTATGCAATCGGAAACTGAGTGTGATGGAGATGGAGAATATATGAACTTCCTACATCATTCCATTCTGTTCAGGCAAAAGAGTTGGAAACGTTCAACCCGGCATCTTGCGCGTCCTTTTAAAATAACCCTGAAAGCCGTAGGCACGATAACCAGGTGCTGTTTGCTTGCCCCTCCAAGCCGATCGAATGAACAGGAAACGAACAAGCACGAGCTAACCTCGCGAAGTACGAACACAGCTGCTACTCCTGAGCACCTTACAGCACCGCTCACTGGTGAAGTAAGCAAGTAGAAAACTAAGGTTTGCGGCTTCTTGAACGGTTGAAAATACTTGAAACCTCTATGGGCCCCGTGTTCTCGAGCTCCAATAAGCCCGGTTCATTCGGCACTCAGGGAAAACGGATGTGAACCACAAACTAGCTTAGTACCGTTAGATCGTATTCGATCGACTCACCATCATGTGCTTGCGTTCTCGCACCAAGCACATGCAATAGTCGGTGCGTTGGAGCCCTACACGGTATTCCTGTTTATGCAACCTCGGAGACCACGTACGCCCAGTAAGCCTCAAGAAGGTTGCCAAGGCGTTTTCAGCAACCTAATGAGTAGTGCATTCTGTCAAAAATTACAATACTTCCTGTTCATATATATGAAACCTCCGAAATGAATCATCCTAACGGTCTGCACTGTGAATTCTCCATACTGAATCCATCATCCGGGCAGATAAAGGAATCCCCGTGTGTACGTCTGGTGGATAAATCTGTGACCCTGATTTTCATCCAGGTAGGTACGCCGTCGTTGGTGTACGATTTCATTAAGCTCGACGGCTCGACGCTTTTGCCAATGGTCCCGCAGAGTTGTTTATTCCTCTTCTGTTTTATTCGAGTAGAGGGCACCGCGGACTTATACGGCGTTGGCGATCAGCAGCTACAACACATTGTGAAAAACAACAATATCAGAGCGAAATCAACTGAATGTTTTGTTGCGTAGCAGCGGGCTGTGTATAGAGAAAAATATCCATGCCCTGAACCAAAGAAAGTTTTTTACCTGTAGCGAAATACACTCATTTGGGAACAAATTTGGTTTTGTGGGAGATTCACCTGGAACCCAGCTGAATCTCTCAGTTTTGCTGTTTCCATGCAGGTGAATGTGCTGCGCAAGGCCGCCTCATGTTTCAGTCGCTACGATATTCGAGGTATCGCGATTTGGTTTCAAGCAGAACATAAGGTTGACAAAAACTCGGGGACTGCGCCTACCTGATGATCCCCAAGAAGGGCGAAACCGGTCGTGGGCCATCGAGGGGTTTTCAGCAACCTTATGAGTAGTACATTACAAAAAAAAACATCCAAATTACTTAAGGATCGGGCTGTGTCTCGGGTGATTCTAGACAGCTTGAACAATCTGATGCAGAAAGTTTTCAATATGTCAACCTAATATCCTAGTCGAGTTGCATCCGTGAGCCGTTTTAATCCTGGGTGAAGCGGCACCGGTGCTTTGTTTTTTTCTGTCATATGTGATTACTTGTAGCCTTCCTTGATCAAATAAAGAGGATAGGCCTAATGACTGTAACGCCGTGCAATGGTCAGAAACTAAAAGGTTTAGTTGGTTCTAGTGTCATTTTGGACCAAACCTCAAATCACATTGCTCAAGTTTGTCTGTTCAGATGCGTCCAGCGTCCACTGGTGGAGTAATGCTGTCAGACGCCCACTTCGCATATCAGACGTGCGGAGTTCAAACTCCGGCACGATCACTGCGTATGCACTGCTGATGGGCGAAACTCGAGTTCCTGTTTTGGTGTGGACTAACCAGAATAATGGCGCCAGAACAGAAGGGCGACTGTTCAAGGGGGAGTCATATGAGCATGAAATCTACAAATCTCGCAACCCTGTACAACTAATATCTTGAAGTCACACAAAAATTCGAGGGACTCCGAAAGGTATTTCTTGTGAGTGGGTGGTGGCCCATTCGAAACCTCATCTATCAATGTTTTTTAACGACTCAGCCGAACTCATTTGTAGATTAGATAGGTATACTAGAAGAATGGCGAGGTTGTTGCTAAGCTCTATATCCGTTGGGTGTTTGCTGAGTAACGCATCACTAGTATTTTCGTAACTCACGGTACGAGCTGGATGCTTGTAATTCTTTTGCCCCCGACGGTTTTGAACCCAGCCGCGATTTGTAATCATTCAGCCGTAACACTTTTCGGTGCCTAGCTGCCATGCCACCCAAGAGGAGCACGCGGGCTGAGATCCTGTCGGGTTGCCCAAGCCTAGACAGGAGAAGTCGAGAGGCAGAGGTCGGTCTCGATTTGTAAAGCTTTCATGAAGCTGTTGGCACCCTATATCCTTGTGCGTGAACAGCAAAAGGATATAATGTTCTGCTTGCATTTCTGAAGCTTCTCTAAGGATTCCGCTCTTAGGGAATCGAGCCGGGGTTTGAAAAGCGGTTGTTCACAGAATTATATACCCAGCCGTTCAGCCCGTTTCGGAAGAAAGAGTGCTTCCCAATAAAGAAAGACTTTTGCTACCAGGATACACAGGAATCCTTATCTTGGATAAATATCTCCTGATTGAACAGTGTCTTTTTTCGTGGTAAGACGTAACACGACCTCATGTCATTATGGCATTTTCTCCAACAACGGGCAAATTAATCAATCCTTTTTCACATGTTTTAAAGTATATATTTTACGTCTTTGTTCGCGGAACCGCAGGGAGCGGCAGCCGATTAGTTACAAGTTGACAGTTCGTGAGTTGAAAACACAAGTCCAAGCTCCCACCCACTAGGCTGTCCAGGTCCGCAGTGTATTCTTTTTGGTATCGCGCCCTTGCTTACGTCACGCACCCGAAATTCTCTGAACCAGAGAAAGAGACCGCTCTCGGCTGATCTCATACTGATAGCGTTTCGTTTGCATAGCCTCCGATCCGATAACGGAATGCGTTTTATAAAGGAAACTACTCACAAGGTTGCTGAAAACTCTTCGATAGCCCACGACCGGTTTCGCCCTTCTTGGGGCTCATCAGGTAGGTTCAGTCCCTGAGTTTCCGTCAACCTTATGTTCTACTTGAACCCTAATTGGACTGTTTTCGAGGAATACACTCATTTGCAAACCAATTTGGTTTTCACGAGAGACTTAACTGAACCTCTCGTTTATGATATTCTACAACTGAATGTGCTACACACAGGCCGCCTCATGATTCAGTTGGCACGATATTCGAGATATCGCAGTATATTTTCATAAAGGAAACTACTCCCGTTTTAGTGGTCATTCGGACACGCCCCCCTCCCATAAATGACGCAGAAATAGTATGCGGTTGATCAGACACAATGCCAAGGGTCAATGCAGATGGTACGGTTTCATTGAAACGGCTTAGATCTGAGAAGTTCCTAAAACGACGCCTATTTTTCGAGATGGTGTATGAATGAGACTGCAAACTACCATGTCCTGGATACGCAACATAACTAGAAAGGACAACATGAGTTCGATTTTTCACACTCCGATGTACGTTCAGCAATGATGACATCAAAAGATACATTTATGTCAGATGAGCATCTCCTAGTCGATCCGCAATTTTCACAGATCTGGTGTAGCAATGAAGAAAGGTGGGAAACACTTGTCTAATTCCGTCGCATCCTATAATTTCTTGTCGTTTTATGCAAGAGCAGGCAAAGGACTTTCTGTTCTAATTAAATCATTCATTTGCATACTAAATTGGTGTGCAGGAGAGATCCGAATGCGTTTCACTTACACCTCACTTTTTGTGGCGTACTTCATCGGGGCGTAAAGCGCAAATTTGGTCTCATAGCTAAGCCGATATTCAGGATATTGTAAGTAGTGTTGTAAGTAGTATGGGGGGTGGAACCCGCCCGATGTCCACCACTGTTTTGGCACTGTCCAAAGCTCACGAGGTTAACAGAACACCCTAATTTTTTATCGGTTTTCCTTGTTGTACGACCAATATGTGTAATATGTAGAAGGGTACACTGAGTCCACTTGAATTGGTGAAAGATCAATGATTAATCGCTATAGGCCCCTCAAAGGGGACCGCCACACGGAGAGGCAACAGCTTACCTCCTCAGGCGGGTGGTACCTGACGTGGTACTCTGTATTGAACTCTGAGTGAGTGCACTCAACACAACACAGATTAGCAAACTAGACAATGTGAGCAGTGGTCAAAACTTTCAAAGTGAATTTATTCGATAAGGCAAATGAAACGCACGGCATTCAGACCAAAGGATCACAAGAACCGCAAACGGACCAATGGAATTGGGCAAGGCTGTTATGTCTGCAGAACAGAAGCAAGTTGCCTGAAAAGAAGCTTCTACAGTTAAACCTAGCAGCCTCACGTTAGGCCTGCAACATTTGGGAAGATCAGAGCTTGACTAGTTTGGCTTCTCGGAGCAAAAGAGGTGGTGAAAACCGCCGTGGTGTTGACGATATCGGACCAACTGCTTTGCAGATTCAATGACCCTCAGTCGTGTTCATATTGTCTACGAAGGGACAGAGAAAGCATTAATCTTTCGCTGAAGGAAATGAAAGGCCCCAGCACGAAGCCAAGTTTGTTTCGGTAAAAAGACCCCTAAAGGATTACTTTACGCGCGTGCGTGTGATTTTGGGATAGGGCTCGTTACTGAAAGTTCGGAAATTGGAATCCAATGATCCCTTTTCAATGACTTCAATCAATGCTTGGATGATACCCATCGCTTTTCATTTGTCGGCGTTGTAACTGTGAACTCAAAACAAAACCAGAACCAAACGACTCTTCTCACCAGGGGTTTTACTGTTTAGGACGGCCGTCTTTTCAGCCGCAGTGTACTTGGTCTCAGCTCTAAACTACACCCACCAACTTCCAGACTTATCGACACCTAGAGCTGCGAGTG